AAAAAAAAAAAAAAAATTAGGCTAAGAGCATTAATTTTAGGATCAGAAGCTATTTTTATTGCTAATAAATGCTTTTCTGACAAATCCACTCTTTTTTTCTTCTGAAATTAAGGGATCTAGCTGTTTCTTCGAGCAATTTAAGTACCATAACTTTTGACATTCACCGATCTCTTTTCAGCTGAGCTTTCCTATTACAGTATGATTTTCGTCAGAGTAAAAAGTGTGAAGTGAAAAAAATTTTATGTTTTCTTCGTACAATTAATTTTTCAGCTTTATAAATCTTGAAAAATTCAGCGTTGAAAATATGAAAACCAGCAATTTATAACAAGTGACTACAAAAGCAAAAGTAATTTTTTATTTAACTGTGTAAAGTAAGATTATTTACGCCTTACGACATATAAATTATACAGCATTTTACATCTAAATATGTTGAGTTATTTCGGTATGATAATTTTCACTGCTTTTTTCTTGCTTTACTTTTGAAAGGAACTGGTAATTTAGGGTTAAAGCAGTATCGACTTTAGTTTATTCTGAGAATATTTGTTGCACTTTTTTTCACTGTGGCATACAGACCTCGGTGACTGCCATTGAACGGAATGCGTGAAATCGTTCACATTCAGGCAGGGCAGTGTGGTAATCAAATTGGTGCAAAGGTATCCTAATAATAATAAAATACATATAATTACTGCTTTTAGATCAGTGCCTGAATAATCCTACGACTCATTCAAATTGATTTGCTTTCTAAATAAAAAATTTGTTGTATAATTGTTATATACTTTTTCAAATTTTTTTTTCCAGTTTTGGGAGGTTATTTCTGATGAGCATGGCATCGATTCAACAGGCACTTATAATGGCGACTCTGATTTGCAGTTAGAACGGATTAACGTTTATTATAATGAGGCTAGCGGTGAGATAAATTTAACTAAAGAGATTTACATACATTTTAGAAATGGTCGGTTGGAAGCGCTAGCCACAGTTTTGTCGAAACGATCAAAAGTTTAAATCCAATTTTAGACATTCTTCCAACTTAATTCCGTCAAATTTTTTACTTTTAGAATGTGAACATTTTTACACATGTTCTAAAGAGGGTAAACAATTTTCTAGGAGGCAAATACGTTCCACGGGCATGTTTGGTTGATCTAGAGCCCGGAACAATGGATTCAGTTAGAGCTGGGCCATTTGGACAACTTTTTAGGCCTGACAATTACGTCTTTGGTAAGTGCAAGAAAAAAAAAACGAAAAAAAAAGAGATGGCTATTCAAGTGGAAATGGAGTTAACCAGTGTTCTGCAATTCTAAATGTCATGAAATTTATGCAGAACACTACTGATATTCAGTTTATCTGCCGTTAAGATGGAATACGAATTTTAGGCCAAAGTGGCGCTGGCAACTGTTGGGCTAAGGGTCACTACACAGAAGGTGCCGAATTAGTGGATACAGTTCTAGATGTAGTTCGTCGTGAAGCCGAATCATGTGACTGCTTACAGGTGCAATATATACACTGTATAGCAATATCGTTAACACTGTAAATTGCACTATATTAATTTCCAAACAAATCTTTTGCTTTCTGGTGTGAAATTCATTCACATAGGTTAGTAGAAACTTTTTTAGGGTTTTCAAATGACACATTCGCTTGGCGGCGGCACAGGATCTGGAATGGGAACACTGCTTATTTCAAAAATACGTGAGGAATACCCTGATCGAATTATGAATACATTTTCAGTAGTGCCGTCACCAAAAGTAGGCTGTTACATCAATCATTATTTTTTTTTAAAATGTGCTTGATTTTATAGTTTATTATTCAAACCTAATATACATAAAAAAACTAAGCCTGAGAGAATGCTCTTTTGAAAAAAATTATAGCTTCACTTTAGGTGTCAGACACAGTTGTGGAACCGTATAACGCAACACTTTCTGTACATCAGCTGGTAGAAAATACTGATGAAACGTTCTGCATAGACAATGAAGCATTATATGATATCTGTTTCAGGTAATCAGTACATTAAAAACGCCATCTTAAGAAAAGTTACCTTTTTTTGCTCTTATTGTGGTACTATAAAAAAATAAGCTGATCAATCAGAAAACCAAACAATCAAGAGAGTATCAAAAATTTTAATTTCAGAACACTTAAGTTAACTACTCCAACTTACGGTGACTTAAATCATCTTGTATCAATGACAATGTCTGGTGTAACAACGTGTTTGCGGTTTCCTGGGCAGGTTCCGTTCCTAATTAATAAGAACAGAACAAATAGCATGATAAATAAATAATTTGAGGTGTAAAACTAAATTGGACTTTAAATAGTCAACAACCTGGTTTTAGCTGAATGCAGATTTGAGAAAACTTGCCGTTAATATGGTACCGTTTCCAAGATTACATTTCTTCATGCCCGGTTACGCCCCACTGACGTCTCGTGGTAGCCAACAGTATCGATCATTAACAGTCCCAGAATTGACACAACAAATGTTTGATTCCAAAAATATGATGGCTGCATGTGATCCGCGCCATGGTCGTTATCTTACTGTCGCAGCCATCTTTCGTGGAAGAATGTCAATGAAGGTCAAATTTCTTTTTTTTTTTTTGTTTCCGAAACCGCTTGTATTTTTTAGATGCTTTGGTTTAGTGCCTCGCTTATAAATATAACATTATTTACTATAAACAGATAATTCTTGAAAGTTGTTCGAGTATTTGAGTTTGAAATTTTTATTTTTTTGTTGGTCAAAAACTTGTGTTTCCCCATCAAATCTTCTTAGAACGCATTCTCAATATTTCGTTGAAAATAGTTTGCAAAAAACTGGCATCGTCAGTGTGTCGACAGAGCCATGAAATACGAAACTAAGCACTGCTGAAAGCTTTAAAACTTCTCACTTATTTAGCTGAAAGTCGCAAAAAGATTTTACCAGTAAAAAAACAGATTAAAGATAATTGAAGTAACCAACAGCGTTTAATTTTTTTTATTGAAGGAAGTCGATGAACAAATGCTAAACGTACAGAATAAAAATTCGACATATTTTGTCGAATGGATACCAAACAATGTGAAAACAGCAGTATGTGATATTCCACCGCGCGGTGTTAAAATGGCTGCTACATTTATCGGCAACTCTACGGCAATTCAAGAACTTTTTAAGCGTGTTTCAGAACAATTCACTGGTTTGGAAACAACTTTAAAATAATTTTTAATTAGACCTTTCACTAAAACTTAACAGAATCTTTTTTTTTCAGCAATGTTTCGCCGTAAAGCTTTTCTACATTGGTATACTGGTGAAGGTATGGACGAAATGGAATTTACCGAAGCAGAAAGCAATATGAATGACTTGATTTCAGAATATCAACAGTATCAGGTTAAGTCTGTTCCTGTTTTAGTTGCATGGGTATAACAAAAATTTACTCTAACTACATTTTAAAAAAAGCTTAATGTAATACTTTTTATAAACGGTTTAGCCTATGCTTTGAGAAGTTTAGGTTTTCACAGTTGCTTTTGTTAATTGAGAAACCTACTTTTCTCATTCAGTAAATGTTGAACTTTAAGGATGCAACGGTTGATGAGGAGGAGGAATATGATGAGGATGAACCCGAAGTTGAATAATGGAATCAGAGCTTAAATTCTGCTCCTGAAATTTTCAGTGTTTCAGCTGACTTTTATGCAACGGTTTCACCGAAATGATGACACCTCTCCAAACAACGCTACATGGAAGCTTTATTTGCTGTAATTTGTGAAGTATTCAGCTCAGCCGTGGTTATTCACTTTGGACCTAAAACCTTTAAGCTTTTTTTTCTCTTTCTTTGTTATTTTTTTTATTGTTTTATAAACTACAGAAAAATTTGTCGACACTCAGTTTTAGCGAAAAAAAACGTTAAAAGAGTCCTGTAGCGGAGTAATCAATTTTGTGGATCTCACTGGTAACTTTTGTGTCTGAATTTTATGGTCATAAGATAAGTGTAGAAATTAAGCAGTAAAACTGTACCTTTAGCTCATAAATATTGTAAATTTTGTTTTTTTAAAGATTTTAAATGTATTTTCACGGGAAAAAATATGAAGGATTTTAAACTTATTGCTGATTTTTCAAATAAAGCATTGTTAAACATCGTTCTTACAGTCGCAAATGAAAAATTCACACCAAGAAAAATCTCATCAAGTGCAGAACATTTTAAAAACGACAATAAAATTTACTAATGCTGCTTTATAAATGCTATTTGCTTTTAAGCAAATAAAGTAATTTTTTAAATCATTATTTAAAAAAATTTTTTTTTAGATTTCAGCACTTTATTTTAGCAAAAGGTAAAATAACTGTCTATATTTCAACCACTGTTTATAGTTTGAATTTTAAACTCCTTTTTATTTTGATATTATTGATAATCGGCTTAAAAATTTTTAAAAGAATACCTCAAATTCCAATTCCAGAACTTTGACACAAGATACACATTAAAAGTACACTGTTTTGATAAAATATAAACTAGACTTTAGAAATTTGTTTTCAGCAATTAAAGTTGGTTATCATTTTGAACAAAAGAAAGTATTCACTGAAGAGTGCTAAACAAACTGTGAATTGTTTTATTGACGACAAAACGTCTGATAATTTTCTCTTGCCTCTTGTTTCTTGCAGTGCTGCTGCTAAAGCCAAATTTATCATCTCTAAACAAACCAAAACCAAAACTTTTTACTGAAGATTTTTCAACCAATTACAATCGCTGAGATGCTACGATAATTTAAGATTTGTGGACTTTTACGAATGAATAAGTGGTTTATTTGGCTTGCATACAGATGTTGCAAAATCAGAATGATGTCATAATGGAAGGTGTCTAGCGTATTCTATGTTTAGAAAAAGGTCTTACTTTTGTCGCTTATTTTTCTCTTTTACATTTTTCTAATATACTACAATTTTTGTCCTGATGCAATTTATTTCTGAAGTGAAAACTGAGAAAATAAGCTTCAAATCTTGTACACTTTCAGTTCCCAAGTTTTCTTCTTAAGTTCTGGGCAGGTTAAGCAAGAAAAAACTTTGTAACATCTCTAATGGAAAAAACCTAATAATTGAAACCTACATCCTGATCATTCAGTCCTGATTCCGTCGTCTTACAAGATACTTTTGGTGCTCCCTTAATCATTCAAATAAATTGTTTTTTTATCATTTTTTTCTTTTAAACTTTTATTACGCTTGCTCTAATGCAATTTTTCTTCACGATCACAAATTTTTTAAAATTTTGATTGAAAAGAACAGTTTTTTGAGTAATCTTCGGAAATAAACTATGACAATACAGGTGTCATAGCCCACAACCTTAATCCATCAAGGTCTTTCCTGAACGTTATATAATGTTTTTGAGGATGGCAATCTGTGTCAAAGTTTGGTATTTTTGACAGTTACTTTCTGAAAGCAATGTGCGTTGTAAAGAGATGGATATTTTGTGAAGATAGGAAACAGCAGTTGAATGAAAAAATATTGAGAGGTTGAATTTTAATTAATTTGCTGAACGAAAAAAAGGACTTTTGGAAATAAAACGTCGTATTTCGTAAAAAAAGGAGTTTTGAAATTTTACATCAGATTTTCTAAGAAAAGAGAAAACTATGGAAATTTTGCATCGGACGTTCACATTTACATAAAGTGAAGAAGTGCAGCTTGAGGGCGAATTTTCGAATACTGTGATGAGATAAACGGTGAAATAATGCCTTTCGTTACAGTTATATATGGACAGATGCTGCGAGGAGCTGCGCCGACAGGGAGCTGCAGAAGAAATGTCAGTCGACACGAGTTTCTTGTGATGATGGGTATTGGCAACAGAAACTGCTGTATAAATATGTCGTTTATTAGTTCTTTCAATTTGTTGTTTCGGTGCTAAAGCAAAGACCGACGTTGCCAGTGGTGGTGTTGGTGACTGGCGGTAATGTTGCATTAGTTGTTCTCCCTATAATTGCTCTTACCGCAACCCTTTCTTTCTTCTAATTAAAAGGTATCTAGCTTATTCGCTGAGTCTGAAAAAACAAAACGCTTTTTTTTTTGAGTTTCACAGAATGCGGTGACAATTTTGTTGCTGCTAATTCTTCCACGATTTCAGCTCTTAAATATTACTGTGCAATAGCTGAGCAATGCTTTACTCTTCATTTCCATTTAAATTTGTCTCTCAGCAAAACGTTTTTTACTAATTTTTGCACCGTTACTCGTTGAGTGGCTTGGAGCAAGAGTTATTTTGATTCAGAGATAACGTTCAGTGTCAATACTTCATTGGTAGTGGTATTCCCTGCTGTATGGACTAACATCCCTCGTAGTTATTTTCATAAATACGCCTCTAAAATCTTTTATCTTTGATCTGCTGATCTTCAAAGCTAATTACTTATCTTTGTCTTCGAACGATTTTCTAGCCAAATTTTGGTGGATAAAGGAGAACTATTTTATTGCTTGCAAACGTCACTTTTTTCACCTTTCTCAATTTGATTTTTATCATCATGAAAATTCAATATTCTTTCAGTTCTTCTGTTTTTTAAATCAGTTTATTTTATTTAATTTTTTGCTTGAGTAGGGCGAACGTTGTGGTTGCGACTTTATGTATTTATTCGCACCGTTCTCGGTACAATTTCCGCATGCAGCGGGTTGGCTATCGGTATCGTCTGGTCCCGCCCGTGACGGACTTAGTCTCAGGTTGCTCTCAATTGATACACTATAAGTGCTCAAATTGTACTGCACTTTCGCCCATCATAATTCTTCTCCAAATTGTTTGCTTGATTATAGTTTTCCTAGAAAATACTTTTATGATATTAAACAAACAATTAAAAAGTGCCATAAAAGCGCTTGGTGGTAAAAGTATTTTAGTTGCTATTTCATTAATAAACTGTCATTAAAAGATGATTAACTTTTTCCTTGATATTCGCGAGCAATTTATGCGTTCTTTGAAATTGAATTTGTTTATTTCTTTTCTGAACACCTTGTTTGCAGAGCTGATGGTAGGACAAAGTGCTGCCTTCGTTACCATTTGGATTCTTAAAGAAATCAGTGCTGCTAATAAATTTTTGTTTCGACAAATTTTGTGTTTTCTACGTTCTTTATCTATGAAATTAAGTTTTAATTTTACTTAAAGCAACGTAATTGATGTTGTTGCGAGAGTATTAGTTATTGGTATTACTGTTATTATAATATCATTGATATAATAATAATAATAATAATAATAATAATAATAATAATGAATAATAATAATAATAATAATAATAATAATAATAATAATACATTAGAAAAACAGTCAGTTATGCTTGTGTAAAAAAAATTGATGAATTAAAAAATCGACATCGAATAAAGATGCTGGTGATTTAAGTAGACATTTACTTATTCGACTTTTTTTTTCGCATTTTTTGGGAATTTTTTTTATTTAATCTGCTTGTTTTAATAAAAAAGGTAATCCTTCACCTATTTTTGTTTCTTCATTTAGCGCTTCAAAAAACTTGTACGCTAAGTTTTTTGAGACCTACAATATTCCTAACTCTACTTCTTCAGATAGTTAAATACCATCAGTGTTGGTCTCTAACATTGATCGACGCTCACTTTTTTTGTTTTTAATGGCGACTTTTATTATTCTTATCATTTTCAGAATGTCTGGTGCACAATCGCTGTCTCGTCAAAACTATTCAGCAGAAGTTGAAGCAGCAGTAAATAAACAGATTAATGCTGAGTTTTGTTCTAGTTATGTTTACCTTAGTATGGTAGGTTGGAAAAGGTCATAGATGTCTTTTTGTTACCGCTCTTCTTCTTCGCCTTTGATTAGATAATGAGATTTGATGACTTACAGTCTTCAAATGACAACTGTTATAAGTTTTTTGTCTGTTTATAGGTACTACCAGAACACTAATCATTGCAGGCAACTTACTTTTCTCGAAGTGAAGTATGCTTACCACACATTTCTAAATGGATGAAGAAACAAAGTGATGAAGAACGAGAGCACGCTTTGATGCTTGTTCAATTCCAAACACTTCGTGGTGGCAGAGTTCAATTTGAAGCAATTCGTGTCGGTTTTTTCTCTTTCCTACTTTAATTTCATATTCAGAAACAATTCGTCGTTAGGCCTTCGTCACCCAAATTTATTGCTGAGCTGTTTAGAAGCCAGAAAGGGAAGAATGGGGAAGTGCTTTGGAGGCTTTTAAGGCTGCCTTGGTACTTGAGAAACAAATAAATGAATCTCTACTCGCTCTTCATGCTGTCGGCGAGAAACAGAAAGATCCGCATTTGTGTGGATTCATAGAAGAAAAATTCTTGCGTTCTCAGGTGACAATCTGAATTGCGGTTCAATATAATTACTGTATTGAAAATAGAATATGAGAGAACGTTGTTATGTTGCACTACTTGTATTCAAGTTAGGCAGCTATTAAGAAACCCGCAAGTAACGGTAGCTGCTTGGTATTTGTAGGTGAAAAGCATTGATGAAATATCGCGTTATGTTTCAATATTGACAAGAGCTGGAACAGGACTGGGTGAATACGTCTTCGATATGAGGAATTTCAAATCTTCCGAGGAAGCCGTGGTCAATGAAGCAATTTCCGCTCTTTCTCATTAGTATGACGAAGAGGCAATTGGCAGTTTCCCAAACTGTTAAATGACGGATGCAGTTCTAATGATCTTTTTAGCTTGGGTCTTCTTCATTGTTCGTTAATTTTTTGCAACATTTGCTAAGGTGTTTCATGTTTTTTTTACTCTGTACTTACCACTTGGTCTTATGTAGCTTGTCACTTTTTCAATCACCTGTATTTCGCTTAAAGGAAAGTTTGCTGGCAAGCTTTTAACTTTGTTGCAGTAAAGGAAATATAATGATGAGCTGATGTGAAAAAGAAATTTATAATAGTGATCCAGAAGTGATTGCTAAAGGTTGATAATAGGAACTGATACTTTCCGAAAAACAGTAAACGACTTTCTTATCTTTTCAAATTTGAAAAATACAGTTCAAATTTCACTGTCTGCAAAGCAGAAGTCACGGAGGTTAATTTACTTGATGTAATGACGCTGATTTCTTATAGACAAGTTTGTTTTCTAGAAGGTGGTTTTAAGTCACTGGGTTTTTTTTGCTTTAAACAATGAAAACTTCCTTGTTTGCTGTTAAGAATGAAAAAGTTGAGTTTCGTAAAACATCACATCCTTTTGACACAGCTTCAACTGGTTAAAGTGCTCTCAGCAATAACCCGTCCGTTGAAGGAAAGTTCTGAGTCCATGAAGGATTCCCGAATCATTGTCAAAAGAGTCTTTACGTTGCAGCTTCAAATATAGAAGCAATAGAAATATATATAGAAGGCCAGTTGCTTATATTATAACAGATCTGATAAAACATGTTAAACAGTTACTTCACTGAAATAAGACCAGTTGACGTGTGCTTTGTCTCAGTTTTTCCTAATTAATAAAGAAGTCTTCAAGAAATGTCTTCACTATTCAAACCGGCCACCAATCTTAGATTTTGGTCAAGTCAATGTTTAAAGTATAACAGAGACACGGTTACTTAGGTGTACGCGAAGGGTGACAAATTTTTCTTGCCTTTTTTTCCCCCATATTTATTATAATTTTTGTTAAACCACTTAACATATTCGCAAGAAGCGCAAAAATAAGCAAGTATCTCAATGCCTGAAAAATTTCTAGTGCTAGAACTACACTTGAGTCTAAACCAGCCTACAAAATAGAAAACCGTAGAGTGGCAATTTTAACGCGAGTTGCTTTCCAGGTACTCTAAGAAAAATTAATAATGTTAAACTGTTAATTTATTTTACAAAAACTTTAGTTTTTTCTAAGGCTTTAGTTTGGCCTCAACTGAAATGATAAAAATAAATAACTTCTGAGGTTTTTCAGCTACAGCAAGCGATGGAGGGAAATGCTTTGTCCGGTTTGTTTTGGCAAAAGCTTTCAAAAATGTTAGTCATTATAAACTAATTAATACTTATAAATACTGCTGGACAGCTCTTTGTTTAGAATTGGTCCGCGGTAGACAAAAAAGTCTGTCTCGGTAAAGCGTTAGGCAAACCTTGCTTCTCAAAATTTTTTTAGCGCTCGCCTGCCAATTACTACCAGCGCCGCTGATTTATGAGTTTTCTCAAACAGTGTGATTTATTTATATGCCTTCTGCTAGCAAAATTTTTTTTCTTTGGAGGTCAGTTGGTGAGAGGTGGAGAGAGATTAGACAAGTAACAGTCTGGTTTTCTGCCAATCCTAGTAAGCGCCGTCAAAGAATCAATGAGAGGAAGAAGATCCAAATAATCAGAATTTTTTGTAGAAAAAAGCTTGCATGAACAGGCGACAGTTTCCATCACAGTTTAATATAATCGCTGTTTTCAAAGTCAATTTTAAGAAATCCTGATTACTTTGCATTTGCATTGTCGGTTGCTTAAAAAATATTACTTGCAATCGTCAAAATTTTTTCAAGAGCTGGAAAAGAATCGGAAACATACCAAGATAAAGAATTTTAAAGCCATTTTTATACAGTATTGTACAAAATGGGAGCTTCTCAGATAGGAAACAACTTTTGTAGAAATACGATTATTAAAAGTATAAAGAGTATAGAAAATATAGAAGTGTAGAAAAAATGTGTATAATCTCGACACCTATAATTGACCAAAAGTTTTTTCTAATTAAAAGTTTTTATCTAATCAGCGACCAATGCAATCAAATCTATAAACTGTTGCCTTCAACGCAACAATTTCCTCGAGAATACCAATAACAAAATTTGATAAGCAAAAGCCAAGAAAATCTACCAATATTTTGGTCTAGTGACTAAGCATCAGATTTACAAAAAACATTTGTTTTTATACGAAGATAATATATTATAATATACTCATAAGATCAAGCTGTTTTTCTGAGAAATGCCGCCAAGTTGAAAGGAGAGCAATTGATATGACTTTATTAGGTGCCTCCAGAAGGTCACCAGTGTCTCTGAGCCAAACATTGAAACGTTTTAAATATTTTACCATCACTTTCTCCTGAGTTTATAAACTCATCAGACAATTTAATTTTGCCAATGTCTTAACCCTTTTTTTCTCTTGACTTACATTTTGATAAAAGTTTAGTGTCAACAACAAGATCTGAGAAAAATTCACAAAAACTTCAAAGTCTAATGTTTATGTAATTTTAACGTGAGAAGACCATGTCTTTGTTGAGCTAAGTGCGACAGACCTCCCAAGGTGGGCTACTAAACTTTTACTAACTACAACACTTTCTTAGCCAGCAAATTACTGATCTGATTCAACAGCATTTTTAGAAACTTGAAAAACTTTTTCACCTCAACAACAGTTATTCCCTGCTGCAGTACAACTTATTCAGCGTCTACCTAAACCTAGTCAGTCTTTTTAAATATTTATAAAGTCTATATCACTTCAGCAAAAATTACTTTTGAAAGCCAAAACGTGGTAGCAATTCAGAAAAACAATTTTTTGATATTTTTATCTGGTAAAAATCGTATAGCGTAGTTTCTGCAACGCAACAATTAGAACATTATATTCTTATACGAAGAAAGCTTTCTGAATTGGTAACACGTAGAAGTATAACTTTTCTTTTTGCTGAAATTAGCAAAAATAAAATTGCATAAAGTGTATCAACTAATTTTCTACAACTTTTCCATTTATCTCTCACCTCCAACCTCGCATTTTCTATAGTATCAACTAAACAGCTTGAAAATTCTTAAAATGTTGTAATTGAGTGCAATAAACTTCTAAAATTCAAACATCGCTATCGACATCTGTTTTTTGCAACTAAAGTTCCTTATCATTTCAGACAGAAAAACAGGTTTTTCAAAAGAAAATTCTTGATCAAAATATAATTACGAAGAAATAATAAATAACCTGAAAAATTCTCAAAGGGCAACAGAATATCATTTTTTTATTTACTGCTTCTTATTGCCATGCATAACTGTCGCCTACACCACTATTCCGACAGTTGCTGTTAATCAGTGTTTGAACAACAGATTTTTAGTAACTTTTTAACCTATCTCTAAAGACTTCAATTTATCAGCCTTAAACGACACAACAAATTTTATTTGTATTGCAACCAACAATTTCTCAATTGAAAAGTAACGGTTTTTTTGATTGCTAACATTGGCTGATACCAACAACTGGTAAAACGCTCAATAAATACCAACTGTAAAAGTTTAAACTGTCCTTCTTTACAAACAAGTGTGGTGACAAAAATTGAAAACAAAACAAAAATAGGCGTAAAAGAATTGATAGAAAAATATTTGTTCACACAATTAAACAGTGTTCATTAATTTTGAAATGACGTTTAATTTATAGAAAAACTATCGTCAAAGAGTTACATTTCAATCATATTTTAATCAATTCCTCAACTTTTGCTTTTTGAATTCTGTTTAGAAAAAAACAGCTGAATTTTACCAAATCTGAATAATTTTTCCCATAATATTACTGGTTTACCTTTTCGGAGCTGTCTGCAACTATAAGTGATAAAAGAATAAAGGTCGGTATTTGCTTTAAAAAATTTCTGGTTGGTCTTTACTTAAAACTGTTGTTAAAATTGGTGCTAAATTCAGCACTTTCTTATTTCCTTTCGTACTGCAAGAGTTTGCTGGGAAACTTCAGATAAAATGACAATGAACTTTGCAGCAACGAAGGCAACAGTGCTTACAAAATGACAATTTATGGGCTTCTCTCCGTAAGATATTTTGAAAATTATCAGCACATTGAATTTCAGTAGAAATGCAGTACATCATTGTAAAATATACCAACTGAAGACCACAGAAACTGACTTCTAACAGTCTTTTTCAGGTTTCCATATTCTACAAGCGGTTCTTCGTTGTAAGATAACAAAAACGAGATAATTTCAAACCATAAACTAGAGACTATTTAATCAAAAAAAAAAAAAAAAACTGTATATGGTTATCTCTGGACTCACCATTTTTCCAACCATTTGATCCGTACAGGCCTTTGAGCTTTTTCCACTGTTCTTTTTGGGTATCAAGAGAACAAAGCAGAAATTACAATTAACACAATTGCATTTGTCGACCTTAACAAAAAATAACAACTGGTAGATGACACTGATCACTATACACTATGTTTATTCCTTGTTGCTATGGAATTTTCAAAAATTCTTCTAATAATCAAAATGCTGAATGAAAAAAGAAAAAATCAGTGAAAGCATGAATTACTGACAATTGGCATACGCAAAAATTGAAACAGTTTTCAGTTTTAAATCCCCGTTTATAGAGCAAAGATTGGTTTTTCTTCCATTCACTGAGAAGATATCCAATGGTCTTTGAAATTAGATGATTGATTTCTTTCCGCAGTATAAACATCGTCCTCAGCATTTCGTAAGTTGCTTTTCCAGTTGAAATTGACAACAAAGCTGCTTTTACGGTACTCCATTTCTGACCATCAAAAGCTTTTCTTCTTTCACTTTTGTGCTATTTTTAGAATTACAGCTTTTTGCAGTAAATACATTGATGATAAAAACGGACGAATAAAAAGAAACCATAAAATTGCCTGCCTCTAGAGCATTTACTGAATCGTTGTTCTTTCGATAGGCTAAACGGCAACCCTTTTTCCATAGCCTAAATTGTGCCAAATATTTTAGTTTTTAATTTTGTTATTTCAATCTAATTCAATTCAAACTTATTTGTTTTCTCTGTTTTCGTTCGCGTATAACTGACCTGTGGTATTGGTGGCAAGAGAATGTGTAAATATTATTGCCATTTGGTTTACTAAACAGTCATTTTACAGTGCTGCTAACGAATTTTGGTTCCAACAAGTTTTATGTTTTCTGCTTTCTGTATCGATGAAATCAAGTTTTGATTTCTATTTAAATCATTACAAATGCTGCGATCGTAAACAGTAACAGTGTTACAAGAAGAAAATAATCTGTTATTTCTGTGTGGAAAAAAAACTTGGTGAAGGAAACAGCAGTGAACGAAGACGGGTCATGACTTTAGCAGGCTTCTTGTGTTTTGCTTTATCTGCACTTTTGAGAAATAGTGGTCGCTTAATCTGCTTATGCCAATAACAAATGTAACTGTTCATTTACACTTTGTTTTTACTCCTTCACTCGGCGTTCCTGAGAAATTGTACGTTTAATTTTCCAAGATCTGCAGACTTTCTAAATCAATCTCTTCAAATAGTTAAAGTACTGTAATATTGGTTACTGATATTAATCGACGCTCGTTTGTTTTGCTGTTGACGTTGTTTATTATTAAACCTCCCACATTCAGAATGCCTAATGAACAGTCATCCTCGCGTCAAAACTATTCAGCGGAAGTTGAAGCAGCAGTGAATAAACAGATAAATATCGAGTTTTATGCCAGCTATGTCTACCTTAGTATGGTAGGTTAAAAAGCTTCTTCTCTTTTCCCGTTCTAATCCGACACACGACACCCCGTAAACTTCAAATGACAATTGTTATCAAAATTTCTTTCATGTATAGATATCACCGAAACTTTAATTATTGTAGGCAACTTACTTTTCTCGAAGTGAAGTATGTTTACCACACATTTCAAAATGGATGAGGAAACAAAGTGATGAAGAACGGGAGCATGCTTTGATGCTCATTCAGTTCCAAACACTTCGCGGTGGTAGAGTTCAATTCGAATCAATTAACGTTGGTTTCTTCGTTCTCTTACATGTTTTCCGTATATATAAACAGTTGTTTTTTGAATATTTAATTGACTGTTTGTCGTCTGGCCCCTGTCACATCAATTTACTGTTAGAAACCAGAAAGGGAAGAATGGGAAAGTGCTTTGGAGGCGTTTAAAGCTGCCTTGATACTTGAGAAACAAACAAATGAAGCTCTACTCGCTCTTCATGCTATTGGCGAGAAACAGAAAGATCCACATTTGTGTGGATTCATAGAAGAAAAATTCTTGCGTGAACAGGTCATAATTCAAACTTTATTATAATATAATTGATATTTTGAGGATAGAATGCAAAAAGGAGTTATAACGTTACTCTCATTGCATTTCAATTAGGTGGCTTAAAAAGAGTTCATAACTGACGTTAACTATTTGGTATTTGTAGGTGAAAAGCATCGATGAGGTATCACGTTATGTGACAATATTAACAAGAGCAGGAACAGGACTGGGTGAATATATTTTTGACACAAAAAATTTCAAACCTTCTGAGGTTTTGAAAGAAGCAATTAGCGAACTTTCTCACTAAAATGATGGTGAATTCGTTGGTGGTCTTCTTTAGTATTATTTGATACCAACTGTAACGACAGCTTTTTTTTTCTTAAAAAAACTTAATTTCGTTCATTTTTTATTTCACATTTTCATACTATTCAGTTATTTTTAAGTAGTTCATTGCTGCTGTGTAAAATAAAGCTGTACAGAGTTATGCGTTCTTCTTTCTTTTGATGCTTGCCTTTGTCTGAGCTACTATCTTTTGTTCCACTTACAGAATGGTGAAAAAAGTGGATTTTCGAAGTACTTTTGTAGTTTTATCAAAGAAGAGATCAAACAAATAGAAGTAGGTAAATTGGAGTAAAAAACCCAAAATTAGGTACAGAGGATGTCACAGTTCTGACACTGAAGACAGTCAGTAGGAAACAATGGAAAGAATTGGTTGGTTATTGTCAAACAACAGCAGACAAATTTTTGTTATTCTTTAAATA